TCGTGTTGTGTTTTCCTCCCCCACGTGCTCCAGTTTGATTATTATGCCCATATTTGTTTTTTTCCTGTTCCTGTCCCTATTTAGTTCTATTGGTTCCAGCTGTGTTTAATTAGTTACTGTGTATTTAAAGTGTGTTCTGCCCCTCGTTTCCCGTCCGCTGTTAAATGTCATTTCGTGTTCTGTGTTTCCCGTGTTCCTGTGTTCCCAGCTTTGTTTTCATTAAAGACTTTGGAATTTGGTTTACTCTTCGTCTCTTCGCACCTTCGTTCCCGTGCTCCCAGTGTGAATCGTGACGGTATCCATATAGTAGTTTAATAGCAGCCTTCATTAAAGCTTTAGTCTAGAAACGTTCATTTCGTCCCACGCTGAACACAGATATATAAACAAGACGTTTGATCATTTGTGCAGCTGCGTCTCTCACTCTTTTCAGAAACCAACAGGTTGAAAATTCAATAGATGTGTAGGTCGTGAATGAATGATTGGGAGAGAATACTTGGAAATATTAAATATTATTACCCTGTCCATCGCTCAAATGCCTCTCATGTCAGAACTTTTCTTTCTCTTTATATCACTTGTATAATAAGCGTGTGGAGCTGATGAGTTTTGATTTCTGTTTTCTGTAGAGTTTCCAGTCTCTCTCAGCACCTCCTGAATCTACAGATGTAAATGACGATCCATTCAGTTCTCTCTTCTCTTCTGATGGCCTGAGAGAATCTGTCCGTCAGCTGAGAGAAAAACTGGAGCATTTCTGCAAAGAGGAGCTCAAGAAGATCTCAGACAGAGGTAATGTCCTGGAGATTCATCTGCTCTCAGAAACGAGTCCATCATCATCTCATATCATGGAGAACATCATATTAGAAATGTCTTAGGAATGGATGCAGGATCATGAGAATCACACTGTTCATGTCTGTTGATTTCCACAGTCACATTCACCAACATTGTTCCTAGGATCAGGAACGACTTCCTACAATGTAAGTCAGTAAGAAAACCAGCAGAAAACTCACTGAGTGTGTTCATGTTCTTCTGTAGAAGGTGAAAGAAGAGTTTTATAACTGATGATGTAAATGATGATTTGCACAGATATCTGGTCATCTGTACTGAGACACTGATGATACACTGAACATGAAGAGTTCAGCTACATGAAAAGATCAAACAGATTCATAATTCCTCCTGATTCTGATGTGTTTTTATCTCCATCAGATTCCCATCAGCTCACTCTGGATCTGAACACAGTGAATAAACTCCTCCGACTGTCTGAGAGCAACAGAGTGATTACTAACACTAACACAGTCCAGTCGTATCCTGATCATCCAGACAGATTTGATGTGTATCATCAGGTGTTGTGTAGAGAGAGTGTGTGTGGACGCTGTTACTGGGAGCTGGAGTGGAGTGGAGATGTGTTTATATCAGTGTCATATAAGAGCATCAGCAGGAAGGGA